GAAATGGGATTTGTCCATTACTAAAAAAAAAAAAAAAGAAGATGGGGGAAGTGGAGTGTGGCAACTTATAGGATTTGAGAGGCTGTCGTTTGGAGGAGTGGCAATCCCGAGGTCGGAAAAAAGTGGAATTAGTAGTGCGATACAGGGTGCGCACAAAGGGTCAACCGTGTAAGTAAGGAAAGAAATGGAAATAGGAAAAGCGTTTCCTCTGGACGGCAGAAAAGGGGAAGAAGATTGGAAAGAGTTCCCAGACGCTGTGATCGCTTCAACATCTCACGCGCGGAGGGAATCGACACTCACAGCGAGGGAGACCGAAACCGCACAATGGAATAGGAACGGAGGCGCAAGAGCGGGTAGCGAGTGCTTGAATGGACGCCGCACGCTCGCAGCCGGGGCGACATAAGGGCCCAGACAGATAGCCATAGACTCCCTGCTGTGAAAACAGGATGGAAAAATAAACTCGAGGCAGGAAAGAGACACGAGAGACGGAGATGATCTGGTATGAGGTGGAGGTTAATGGCAAAGGCAGGTGAGGGGAGACGCTTAAAGAGTTTGTAAACTTTTTGTGATGCGGGCGTGTGTGCGGCGATGGGCAGGATGCCCGGACACACTGTGCTCAGCAGGATGGCGGCAGATGTGCAGGGTACAGTAATTGGTGCGAGAGACTCAGTGGGACCCTGGGATACACTCCAATCTCTCTCCCTCTCTCTCACACACACACGCAAGCACACAGGCACACCATTGGTGTGCACGTCACACCAGCACAAAGCCGGTTTGCTCTTCGATCGCCTTTACTATCGCACACACCTGCCATGCAGTCCCGAAAATAGTACACGCACATGCCATTTGGCGATGAATCACCCGGTGTGACAAGACTAAGTACTGCTAACATGAAAGTCATTAGCAGAGCAAACACGTCAGTAAATATACTTAAGCAGACAAATGAGGCTCATAACAGCCATTTTGTAATTCTCCTCTTGATCGTTCAATTTTTTTTTGTTTGTTTTTGTAAATAAAAATAACCATAAAGTGTAATTATCTAGTCAATAACCACAATAATATCGTGAAATAAACACATGGCAGATAATGGAATTGATCCCTTTTGACTAGATGATGTCGGCTGGTAAATCTACATTTTAACAATTTTCCGCACTATAAGGCGCTTTGGAGAACAAGCGCACCTTCAATGAATAGCATATTTTAAAACTGTTTCCATATTTTGGGCGCACCGCATTATAAGGCACATAGAATAGAAGCTACAATAGTGGCTGCGGTTGCATTATGTATCCACTAGATGGAGCTACTCTAAAGGAATACAATACAATACAGCTTTATTTATGTCGAGCTTTAATAACGGCTGCAACCGTGACAAAGCGCTTCACAGAACATTTCAAATATTACGTCCAAGAAATACGAATATCGATCCATATAGAATCCGCATCGGATTATTAAGCGCCCTGACGGCTTTTTAGAAAATTGAATGCTTTTAACATGAGAAAACCTTCATTTGTCTCACAATGGAGAAATTCCCAAATTACAGCAGCAAAATTATGAAAGGTAGAAAATATATAAATAAATATAAATATACAATATAAGGTGCGAATTATAGTGCGGAAAATACGGTCAATTATGTATTAAGTAAATAAATCAGTAAGGTGAATGCACTGCTGTAAAATTTGGATTAGGTGCACAATTAGAATGAATCATTTTAATAACTCCGTACAAATTCTTGCGAAAAGGTTTCTACTGTACATCATCCTATTGGCCCGATAGGATCATGGACGTCATTTACCGTAGATGGAAAAGCATTCGTGACCCGTTTGCTCCGCCGTTTTCCCAAACAGCGTCGATATTAAACGTAATAGGATCAAAGGAAATGTCATAAGTTGTTTTGTTACCTTTTTGAGGGCAACCTCAGAGGAACCCGTTGCGGTAGAAGTGGCGCCACATACATTTGCTGATTGCCGGCAGCTATTTACGACCTTGCCTTCAATGACTGCTTCTTTGCCGGCCAAGTCGCCGTGATCTGGAGACGTATGATCCAATTATGCCTTTCCAGGTGTAGCATAGCTCGGCCTTTTTCATCTGATGAAATGTTCAAGTTATGAAACACCGCGAATGAAAGATAACTTGGAAAACCCCGTATTGCGTGTGCTCTTTCAGAATACTGACATCCTTGCATACTGAACGCGACTTTTCAATCCTAAAAACAGGATCGTTGAGTTGTTAATTGGAGATCGTATTGGTGTTTCATCCTTAAAATTGTGTGCGCACCCGTGCGTGCCTCCATGCATGTGTCTTGTGTTTTAGAATTGAGCCACGCAAAGTATCTGCAGGTTTGAACAAATGGCAAGAGGCTACAATCTAAAAAGGTTCACCTTAAACTCAATTCAATTTGTTTTAAAACTAGCTCTCGGTAAATCCCAAAGGAGGTTTTATGGAGCAAATTTCTATATTGTGTATTGACAGCATTGGTGTCTATGAAATTATGCACTTTTAAATTTTATGACAGATTATTTCAATCGTTACCACACACACACACACACACACACACACACACACACACACACACACACACACACACACGATAGTGTCCCTGCAGTGAATACAGTGGAGCCGAGAAACTAATAACAATAGTTATACAATTTGATGAGAGAGGAGGACGGATCAAAACTAAACTAATAGCCCGAGCAGAAAAGCCAATTGAGGCAGTTTGTTGCAACTTTTATTTGAATGGCAATGCACCATGACGCCAATACCTCTGGCTATTCATTCATTCAGTCATTTCTACTTCTGCCATCTTAACGCAAAAACTAAAAAAAAATAAAAATAACTATCTATGGCCAGCAGATGGGAGCAATGAGTCTCTTTTGGATGAGATTGTGTCTCAAACAATGCAGACGCTTGTAAACATGGCATATCTCTGGAAAATGTGACGGTTACAAGCACCATGTGATTAATCAAAGTGTTGGTCACATTAGGAGATCATTTATATTTTGAAGTAGAAGCGGTGACATAATGTACATACAAAAATAAATACACACACACACACACACACACACACGCGCACACACACACACACACACACACACAAGATTCCATGACAAGATACACACGCACACACTACTAAATACTACTACTAAACAGTGTGCTGAATAATTTGTAAAGGTCAGTGATAGAATTTTAGTTTACAGATGTACAGTATTAATAATCCCGCCCCCCTTTTGACCTCTTTTTCTGTCTCGTCCCTATTTCATGTCTTTCAAAGCAGCGCTGGACCGCTGCTTCCCTGCTTTTAGATGTGCAGTGCGTGGATGTTATGCGTGTAATGTACAGGAACAAGCACCTGGACCTTGTTCGAACGTGCGTGCGTGTGTGTGTCTGTGTGCGCGAACGTGTACGTGCAGATGTCGAGTGAGTGTTTAAGGGTGCTTAAACTTGCTGAGACAGCCAGGGCAGCACGCAGGTTCTTCCAGCTTCGCCACAGTTCACTGAGTGAAGAATGGCTTTGCCACAAATCCTGCGGTGCTTGCCAAGAGGACTGACTCACCTCACTTTATTCTCTCCTCTATGCCTGTGTCTCTATTACTCCACTTACAGTATGTACCGTTTCCCCTTTCGGCATTCAATCTCCGTTTAATATGTCCCGTTATTGTTTGTGTTCAGGTAACACCATGATGATCATCGTGGAGAGCATGTCTAATGGGGCCTTGGATTCCTTCCTTCGGGTAAGTCGGTGCATTTACATTCAGGCATTCCGAACATAAAACCAGCAGAGTGGAAACAAAACAAACAGGCTAACTCTAATTCAAGCGACTGTGATCGACTGATCTGTGTTGGGAGCAACGACGTAGCATCACCTCGGTGATCTCGAAATGTACTTAATCAACTTTTATTCATCAACGTTAATTAGACGTGCCAACATATTCTTCACTGCCAATGCTAATAGCGTAGCGGCTAGTTAAGATGCATTTTTTGCTCAAATATAAATTCACCCCCTTTTTTTTTTTCACCATTCTAAGTCCAGCGTGCTTGTTAACGTATCATGAAAAATATTCATGATTACACACAAATGGGGTGTTTTTGTTTCAAGATGCTAGAAGCTGCTACTGTGGTCTTCTGCTCTCTGAACTAACTCAGCGTGGCTCATAATGATCTGAATTAATGGCCCTCCCTGTTTGTCTGTTTTTTGGGGGGGGTTGTTTTTTTTTTTTAATCCCCAAATGAAAACAATACATCCGTTTGGGTGCAACATAAAACCATCGTAACAAATGGGTCACTTCTTGTGAATCAACACCCAAAGCAGGAAGCTTTCGGCCTTCCTGGTTTCCTTCCAACTCTTTTTCACGCCGTCCTTTCCCTTTTTTGAACGCTCAAAATCACAGAAACATGAGGGTCAGTTGAGCGTAATGCAGCTGATGGATATGCTGACTGGTGTGGCATCGGGGATGAAGTACCTCGCCGAAATGGGCTTTGTTCACAAACGCCTGGCTGCACACAAGGTAAGAGAGCAGGGCGGCGCGGTGGGTAGTAATAGAGTACAGCGTGTACGTTGATGTATGTCTCAAGCTCGCTTTTCCGTTGGCAGGCTCCGAGAACACAATTTGTCCTCGTCTCCGACCGTGTTTGACAGTCATTTGTCAGTGGCTTATTTGAGGAATACGCGAAGCTGAAAATGACAAGACAATGCTGTCAAAATCATTTTGTCGTGAGGATTTGCTCTGTCAGTTTGTGGCTCCTTAAAGAGGAGCCAGGCTGTCTAAACTGCAAGTGCTCTCGTCGCGCTTGTTTTGGAAACAAACAGTCCAACTGGAGTTTGGCCCACCTTTGTAGGGATATCGTTTCACCTCGTAATTTAACTCCGACTTAATGCGCGGTGTTGCCCCTGAAGAACACTAAATCTTTTTTTTGTTTGTTTAAAAATAGCCTCTGAAAGCACTTGTACTGTCTGTTACACTTTAAACAAAATCAGTTTGACGTCAAACCAAAAGCATATTTGGCTAGCTAGGAAATCAGCGTCCTCGTCATTCGCCCCTCGGGCCATGAGGCGTTCCGATAGTTTTACGTAAATGTAAATCCCCCAGAAAAAGTGTTCACCAGTCGGGCGATCGTTTACTACGCTGATGTTTGCCTTGGACATTTTTGAAGGATTGTTAAAAGCCGACAAAAGCAAACGTCCTTGGATCGGTTTGTGATAAAACGCCGGGCCATCATTTTGATTCTTTTCTCGATTCTTTGTTTTTTACATTACGCACAACTGTCATTTATTGTGCAGTAATCTAATTGTAACATGTATTTGTTACATAATTTGATGCATTTTTATGCTTTAGAAAACATTTGTCTGAATTTTGGGGTGCTTGGAACGGATTAGGGCATTTACATGGAAAACCCGTCTCTACTTACAAAATTTTCTAGTTCAGAAATTTCTTCCAGAACCGATCAATTTCATAAGTAGAGGTACCAATGTCCTTAGCTACACTGTATTTGTACGAGCTGTCCGCGACCCACCCAAAATGGGTCCCGACCCATTTAGTTTTGAATCACAGATGTAAAGGATACTAGAGTAAAAGTACTGCTTTGGAAAAGTACACATTTGAGAGAAGTTTGTGTGTATTCTCTGCTCATCGTTAGTGTCTGTTCTGTCTTACGCCCCCCCCCCCCAAAAAAAGAATTACAACAGTCTTTTTACTGTTACCCTCGCTTGAAATGCATCGCGCATGTATTTTTGTGCCCCTGGTGTGTAGGTTTTGGTTAATGCAAACCTGGGCTGCAAAGTGTCCGGCTTCCGACCTCTTCAAGAGGACAAGATCGAGGCGATCTACACAACGCTTGTAAGAAAACCTCATGCATCACGTTTGCTTTTATTTTTTTTCCATCAATATGGAGCTCATTAAACCACCCTCAGATCACGCTTGCGCGCCTGATATATTATATATTTTATTATATTTTTAATGAGATTTGGATCAAATCATTAAGTTGTCAGGTTTGTTTGAGGTCACACGATTTTTACCATCATGAAAACGGTCAGCTTTTCTGCACTGCGCAGTTCAGCCGGAGGTGACTTTTGATTTCGGATTTTCCGGAACACGCCGCATGTCGAAAGCTTTCCAAAGAAGATGTATTAAGGGTGACCTCTGTGCACCCTCTTACCTTGTTGTCCCTTTTCTGACTGAATAGCACGGAGGGAAGAGTGTGGTGCTGTGGACCGCTCCGGAAGCCATCCAGTACCATCGTTTTTCCTCTGCCTCAGATGTCTGGAGCTTTGGTATCGTCATGTGGGAGGTCATGTCCTATGGGGAGAGACCCTACTGGGATATGGGCAACCAAGATGTAAGTGCATTCATTCCTAATCTCTGGTCATTATCCATCCCATTGATTGAAGTAATTGAGTCGGATTTTATATGAAGAGTAACAGCGTTTCGCATTCGTTAGAAAAAAACACACACAAAAATGTCCATTTTGGGTTTGCGTTATTCCCAGATGAAGACGTAGTGAGAACACATGGCTTTTTACTCACTCGATTTTTATTGGTCACCTCCATCTGCTTCGACGAACGCTGCGTCCGTAGCCAGCTTGGATCTTATGAACAGAAAGTAAAGAAGCTGCAGTGGCTCCGAAAGCTTTTTCGAGGCCTAAGCACCCCCCACTTTAAGTCCGCATCAGCTCCATAACCAATCCTGTTTTCTCCAATGGAAGCGGTGACCTCCTTCCATTGGCCTCCGCCTGTCCCTCCTCCAAATGCCATCCTGTTCTTAAAAAGTCCCGAAAATCCCTCTTTTACATTCAGCGTCTTCTGGAAAATGCAGGGGTTTATTTTTCTATTTCGCACGATCGGACTTTCGCCGCTGCTCTTATTTTGCAAGTAAAGAGAGAGGCTCGCTTCACTTCTTGCTCTTTAAAATGCTTTTATTTTACTTTCTAGTCTAAGCTAGTCCTCAATCATTTATTGTCATCTAAGTCAAAAATACCGACAATTCAAATGCAAATGAAGATACAATCCAAACGATTTATCTTCCTAATGGGCGTGCAAATTGCAGTCAGCATAATATGTATCCAATATGCAGGTGCAGGCTGGGGAAAAAAAAAAAGCTAACTGTTATTATCGTGCTCCAATTTATAATGTCCAGAATTAATATGCATGAGATAAGCAGCATTTTTTTTTCAGTACCCCTTTCACCAAGCGTCACAAAGTTTCCTTTCAATCTGACGCGCATTATCAAACTTTCCATTTGCGCTACGGGCGGGGGGTCGAAGGTCAAACGTGTCGGCGGCCGGGGATATTCATCCGCGTTGAATTGATACATGATATCGTAACGGGATTGTTGGTTGGCCTGTCCACCTGTAATTCATTGTGCCCTTTACTTCGCTGGCTTTGATTAAATGGAAAATGTCAAATGCTGAAAAGCATTTTATGAATGCTCTTTAGAGAGGCGGGGAGCTTAAGCAGCCGAATAGGGGGAGGAGATTGGGCAAGATGGAGAGAAGAGAGACTGTGTTTTAACAAATAATGCAGCTGATAGATGTCATTTTTTATGAGTATACCCTTTTTATTTCCTCCTTTCGGGCTGACTGTAGTTTTTAAGAGTGATTTAACAGCGGGATAGATAAGATGAAATCCCCCAGTGTGGTGATAGGCTGAATGGGAACAGCGTTAGTGAGATGGAGTTGAAAGGACCATTGAGTAAGTCTGGAGGGATGTGATCATACTCTCCTGTTTGGCAGAGGTGACAGCAGAGCTTTATGAAAGTAGATCACAAAGGCGGATGCCAAAATGAATATTTGGCTTATCTTTTTGAGGAAATTATATATCCCCGCAACGGATTGATAGATCACTTTGATTCGGGGAGGCATTCATTCAAGTGGGACCTCTACTTACGAGCGTCTCTTCATGCGAAGTTTTCAAGTTACGAAACGTCTCAACTGGAAAATATTGCCTCTCATTACGGAAGAAATTTCAAGATACGAAAGGTAAAAATACAGTATGGGTTGCTACTCGCAGCTCCGAGTTTCCTGAACGCAACATACTTGTAGCTGCTCTGCCATTGGCTATTACCGAGCATCTTCCTGGCATCCCATTGGCTGAGAGGCATTTCTACCGTATGTGTATAGATAGATAGATTATGCACAACTCTCTTTTATTGTTTGTTACATATTTTGATACATTTTTATACTTTAGAAAACATTTATGTCTGAATTTTGGGGGGCTTGGAACGGATTAGGTCATTTACATGGAAAATGCGTCTCGACTTACCAAATTTTCTACTTAAGAAATTTCTTCCAGAACCAATTACCTTCGTAAGTAGAGGTACCGCTGTATGACTTTCTAATATTCTGCAGTCGTGAAGAGGTGCCCTGCATCATTTGCTTACTTTATATATTAAAAATAATAATAATAATAATAAGTCACCAACAGACGCAAACAAGAATAATTGCCATTCGACCCTATGAGAGAGATGCCGAATACTTGGTCTTGAAACAGGCAATGTGAAAGAGCAGCTAGGGAAAAAAAATTAAAAAGCGTTAAAGTCAGTCTGCGTAATTAAATTTAAATCTATGCAATGCTCGTGGGTGGTCTAAACATCCAAATAAAAACGCAGTTCATACAGCTCTTTGTATGAGACCTCATTATATTCTGCAGCGCTCGTACCGGTAAATGATGTAGCGGTTGAGTGTAAATAGCGTAATGCTGTGAAAACCGCAGCCAGTGTGACACCGTCTTTAAGGGTAAGTGGTGCGTGAATTACTTAATATCTTTATTTCCCTTCCAGGGAATGATTTTTGCTCAGTCTGCTACTCAAGGCAATAACTATGACAGAAACGTTTCAAAGCAAGGACTTTTCCAGGAATATCCACATTTCGACGTCAAAGCAGATCAATGGAATCACTGGGACATTTCTCCATTTGTTTCACATTCCACCGCAACCGATCAAATTTTGTTTTGCCTTTTTGTTTTCCCCGCCGTAGGTGATCAAGGCCATCGAGGACGGCTTCCGGCTGCCCGCGCCGGTCAACTGCCCGACACATTTGCACCAGTTGATGCTCGACTGTTGGCAGAAGGAGAGAACAGAAAGACCCACCTTTAGTCAGATCCATTCGGCGCTGAGCAAGAGCATCCGCTCGCCCGACGGCATCGGCTCCTCCACGTTGGCGCGAAGGTCACAGCCCCCGTCGTCCGAATCTCTCCGCCATCTACTTTCACCCCCGGTATATTCATAAAACCCCCTTCCCGCTCTTCTTCTAGAACCCTGAGTTCCTCCATAACACTGGCGGAAAGACCGATACCCACCTTCCCGTCGTTTAACTCGGTAGGCGAGTGGCTGGATGCTGTGGACATGGGCCGATACAAGGACAACTTCACTGCCGCGGGCTACTGCTATTTGGAGTCGGTGGCGCGAATGACCGTACAGTGAGTAGCTCTACAAAACGTTCTCACAGTGACCTTCGAGTTTGAACTTTGTCTTGCTCTCTGGAGCCATTGAAGTGGGACGTCACTAAATGCATCAAGGCTGGAAATCATTATTCCTCACGTCCTTCCTTTCCGTCCGTCCATTTATTGTTTCCCAATTTGAGATATTGTGTGAAAAGTGAAATTGTATGTTTGCAGAGATGTCCTGAGTCTTGGCATCACCTCCCTGGAGCACCAGAAGTTGATCCTGGCTGCCATCCAGACCCTAAGAGCCCAGGTCATCCAAATGCACGGGCGCGGCGTGCAAGTGTAACAGCCGGCCGAAGGCGCTGCTTGCCCGCAGGCTGATGCGTACATGCAGATGGCGGAGGACAGGGGTGCGGATGAGGCAAGCGAGACTGTCTTTCCCTTTCCGAGTGAAGGGCGGAGAAAAGGACCTTGCGCTCCTCTATTTCTTCCTCTTTCCCGCATTCTTCCTCATGCCTTCCGCAATTCCTTACGTTCTTTGTGCTGCGAAGGCCCTCAGAGACGAACATCAGTCCCTCTGGTGGTTGGGGGTGGGGTGGCAGAAGAGTGATGTCATGTGACTTTTTTTGGGGGGGTGGGGGGGGGCGCTATCTGCACTTTGACCTTCACAAACTGTGTCAGCGAAATCGTCACGTTTCGGAATGGCTGAGTGAAGATGATAGAGAGAGAGAGAGTCTCTTCCAGAATGGTGACCTCTGAGCTGCGGGGGGCCTGTAGAGAAGGGACTCCAAAAGGTTACTGGACCACCTCCCCCCCCTCCCCGTTACCATAATTATTTTATTTATTTTATTTTTATTTTTTGGGCACCGTTTACTGGCCTCGCGTCAAGACGGGCAAAGACACTTCCCCGCCGTCTGATCCCACTTGGAATACGAAGGGACATCATCTAAGGATGTGAACGAGCATCACGATGCCAGAAGTGATTTTCATATCAGATGGTGAAGGGATATGTCTGAATATTTTTAAAAATGGCAGGCTTGTAATCCACACACCCGGCGCAGTGGCTGCCAATAGTTATAAAGTCTGAGCTGTCCCATGCGAAAACAAAAAGAAAAAAAAGGGGAGGGGAGATCTGACAAGTGTGAATTTTTAGAATTTGAATGAGGCCTGTAAAAACACTTGAAATGAATGGAGGGATGATGTTCTACGAGAGTAAAGTGTGCTGACAGGCTTTGATCGAGATCTAGCCTGGGGATTGAATTGATAGAATGAACTTTCAGGAATATCGGCCTGATAATTTTTTTTTTTTTTTTTTTTTTTGGACTGATGGAGGAAAAAAAGCTGCCGGGCCGCGTCTCGTGAACGAGTTGTGTGTTTGATCACCCTTAACTTAATGTCACTGGTCTCTTTCACTCGTCCTGGTTTCTTTTCTGTCAAGCTGTCTTCAACGTGCAAATGAACTATTTCATTTTCCCCTTTCGCCCGGATGCCATCTTGGAATCTTCCCCCTCTCAACATTCTCGCTCGCTACCGCGTACTCTCTGTCAAACTCAGGTCAACTCTGGAAGATGACCCAAATCTCATATTTATTTGTGGAGCAGGAACCTCGAGAGATCACTTTAAAAGCAGAGGTTGGTTTGGGGTTTAGTATTTTAAAGTAAATGAAAACATGAGTTTGCTAATTCTGCGACGCTCATGTTGAACGAGTTTCGTACGGGACTGCCAATGGAGGATGTTAGCTGTCTGCACACAGTATCTGTGTATTCATGAACGGTTAGTCTGTTATCATCGGATGTGGTGGATGTGTGAATTCAGTATTAGAACGTCGTCACGATCTTCTTTTTTTTTCTCACCATTTTGTATTTTCCCCACTAAAAGGCGCACTGGATTATGAGGCCCACCTTCAATGAATGGCCTATTTTGTCATTTTTTTCATACATTGGGCCCACCGCATTATAAGACGCAATCTGCAATGCATCCACTAGATGGAGCTACGCTCAAGGAAACGCCAACAGAACGATCAGATGTCAGTAAAACGTATTTAATAAATCAGCGACACAGTTCACTTAACCAACAGCAAGTTTATAACATTGACTCGTTAACGTTGAACTCTCTTGCTGCTGCTCTATTTCCGTGTTCAACTGCGTAACCGATCGCGGTCAGTTTGAACTCTGCGTTGTCAGCACGTCTTGAGCAAAGAGCCATTTTGGAGTCAAAATATTACCGCAATGACCATACACAAGGCGCATCGGATTTTAAGGCACGTATGAGCTTCTAAGAAAATGGAAGGCTTTTAGGTGCGCCTTTTAGTGCGGAAAATACACTGTGTTTTTTTTTCCCCATTACTGTTGGATGTTGGTGTCCAGTGATCTGCCCCTGTCGCCTTGACAAAGTCATCACAGCAGATTGGTAAGAGCGTTTAGCGAGGCGTTAGTTGATGACCATTTTTTTTTGATCGGACGTCATGTAACCAGTTTGTATTTGCGACGGAATACAGTTCGCGTGGTTCTGCTTGTTCTCGTCTGTCGTCTCTCTCTTAGTAATTGTGGAAAAACAAAAGCAACTCAGGCGCGGCAGCTGGCAAATGATCGACTTTTCGTTTCGTCGGCCGACTGCAAGGCCTCACCGTTGTTCGGCGGTTCACGGTGAAATATGAAGAAAGGCAGTTTGCGACTGCTGTCGCGCACACACACACACACACACACACACACACACATACGCACTTGGAGAAATCAAATGCACCCTCGTGCATTCGCGCACACAAAAATAACGATGGGAACGTGTCGCCACAATGAATGAAATGTCAAGTTTGTGACCCTCTCTTTGCCCATCTCTTACCACGATATGTTTAATACTGTAAATATGTACTTGAAAATGCTAAATCTATTTTTATAATTTGTTTGAAGAACAATGTGTTGAATATAATATCTGCTCACTGTGTATGGGGTGATTTGTTTGAATTTAGGGCCGTGGCCAACAACCTCTGGTGTTTGGAGTATTTAAAAAGGTTTTTTGGGGGCTTGGGGGGGGGGGTAGTTTTTGATGATTTTTACCCATTGGAAGAAATTCTAATGGCTGTTCCAGTTATGAACTGTGTTATTAAAAAATCTCCCAATGTAAGTAAATGCATCTTTCATTTGGAAACATCAATTCGCGGTGGTTCTCGACTGCTGCGTGAACGTTTTGAAGTGTTGGAGAACATAAGACCTCAAACGCACGATGTGTCAGATGACCTTTAAATTAAGTGAAGGGGGAAAAAGGGCCGGTTCATGGCGATGACAAGAAACTTGGACTGTTTGACCAGTTTAGAGTCCGTAAATTGAGGACTGCCGTCTTGACTGAACAATAAGTTGGTCACATGTTATTGCAACATACTGATGTTAGCTTAGCTAACCGCGGGCTATCGTTTGTCAGAGGCTACATGTATTATGGAAGCATGGTTTGGATTCACCAAGTGTGAGTTTACCCTAAATTGTTTTTGTCGTTTCAGAGCCAACATTTTGCCATTCAAACCATCATTAAAGAATTGAAGGGCCAACTCTCTGAGGAGGTGCGTTCCGTTGTCAAATTGATCAAACGGAAAATGGAATTTTAGCAGATTTAGTCGAAACAAATTACACTTCTAGTTTGTCTTTCACTTCAGCGAAAGGGCGCATGATTTATTTTTTGGCATTCATCTTCAAATACGGTAGCTACTGTATGTAATTCATCTACATCGGCGACATTCAGGCAGCTAGCATAAAACGCAGCTAGCATAAAGTAATAACACTGATACAAGTCAGAAATGTACAAGCAATGTACAGTCTTGTATGAAAGACGGAAAACAAAACTTTTCATGGACTTGAGCCATTGTTGACGAACCCGACTGAATTATTTGTCTTTGTGCACTCTATTTATTCCCTTTCCTCCCGCTCCCCGTCCAATTAAAAGTCTGCTCTTCATTTTACTTAACAAGCCAACGGCCTTCCGAAGCAACTCATTCTTCTCTCATTAAGTCTACCTGAGCTGCTTGCGCTTGGATCTGTTACAAGGTTAATGCCTTTAATCCATTCCCTCTCAAATTCAACTTTCGCTTACTTGGCCAAGGCTACTTTTTGCAAGTTCGTGGTCCTCTCTCACACTCTGGCTGCATTAACATGTGAACTTACTAAGTCGCTCGCTCGGGGAATGGGGTTATATTACTTACTACTTGATTATGCAACACCCACACTTCGACCAGTGCCAGGCGTATGGGAAATTATTGCGAAATGCAAATCAGCGTCGTGGTGGACTGCTGTGGGCTATTGTGTGGGCGTGTGGACGTGAGAGCGCCGCTGCATGCTTTCAAGCCCGCTCACATGGGTCAGTGTGTGTGTGTGTGTGTGTGTGTGTGTGTGTGTGTGTGTGTGTGTGTGTGTGTGTGTGCGTGCGCTGAACATTATGGGCCTGTGCGCATTGTGTGTGTGTGTTCTGACCGGGGATTTGAAAAAGAGATTGTTCCTTCTATTTTTATTTATTTATTTAGTTTGTTTTTTATCGAACAGAGTGGCAGCGGCAGCAATCCATACTTTTTATATCGCCGTCTTACCGGCATGGCGGATTGGAGTGAGTTTCATCTCCGAGCTAACGCCGGGCGTCGCTTTCGGCAACTCCCCCGCAATAAAACTTTCCCCGCCATCGCTTGATGTTTCGCGAACCACAACGAAGCAGCATTGAAACTTTTCTGGGCAGGAAAAAAAAAAAAAAAAACACGATTGGGTTACTTTACATCTGAGGCTTAGCATATATTTGTCGGCTATATTAGCGATTCAATGTGATTAAGAGAAACTGAAATAAACAGGGTTGCGCTTTAAAGCGAGGGGGTCAAACTCATTTTCCTGCGATTGATCTTTCTGCTCTGAAATGTATTCTCAAATCGAAATGTCAATATTTTTGATTGTTTAGTCGGCTGAGGTAATTTCTGACATGAACAGGAACAGGAGCCTGAATAGGGTTGACAGAACGTGTTGTTATTTTTTTCCCTAGCTGTCAGTTGAGCCACAGGTGAGTTTATTTCAGTGATAAAGCGCACCAATATTTGACCTTGAAGACTCTATCCTTTGCATCTGGATGTTTCAAATCGACATTTGACATGTACAACTTGCCCGACGACAGCCGGGATAGAATCCAGCATGCCCGCCACCCTGGTGAGGATGAGCGGATTCGAAAACGGACCGATGTGCACATCTGCCCCCTTGCACATCCTCTCTTGACTTTGTTCCTCGAGTCTCAAGCGCTCAGCAATTGATCGCACTATTTTTTCTAATCGTACCCGACATTTTGATTCGTACAATAAGTCCTGAAATAGATATATTTGAAAAACGGATGAATATGAGCGAAGGGAAATGTCTGGGAAGGAATTAAAGAGGCCCAAGAGTGATTCCCCGGCTGTGTTTTGAGAGCCCCCATTCCTCTCTCGTCCCCCAGTGCCATCCTTTTTTTCTCCCTCGGTTCTGTGCCAAGATTAAAGCCAGCACAATAAAAAAGGGTTGAACCGTCCACCTCTAAACCACTTTGAAGGGGAAACTTCCCTCGGTAGAGTTGCTCCTGTCCTTTCTTTGCCGAAGCGTGCCACGGCTCAAATCGGCTTTTGGAAATTAATCCCTGCATTATGGTGGAAGTGAGTAAACAAACCGGGGTGCGGTGGGGGGGAAAAAAAGTAGGGGGGAGAGGAGAAAACAAACCGGGGGGGGGGGGGGGGGGGGGGGGGGTGACAGAAGAAGCAAATGAAAGGTGAGAAATTGTGACGCTCATCTAGGTGTAAAAGCTTCAGATGAAGGTTATGCATTCTTGTGTGAACGTGCTCTGGGAAAAAGAGAGAAGGGAACAAAGTGGCGAGGGGCCGACGAAGGAAAGGAAGCAGCCAAAGGCAAACCAAACCCCTCAGGGAGGAAGAGCGGCGGAGCTTTTTAACAGCTTGATCTTAAAGCACCTCGCTCTGTCATGGCCCCGGTCCAGCTTATGGCTGGCTTTGTCTCTCCCCGGCTTCACTCAGCCACTTTGCCCGAGTGGCAAAAAAAGTCATTGTCTGCAAATCCTCCTCCTGAAGCCTTCGCCGCTTCCCACCGCATCCCCTCCG